GCAGGAAAACGCATGCTCCCTGGACAGAGCCCAGCCACCAGCAAACGAGGAGCTCCCCCTGAGATGAGGCTCCAAGGAGAGGTGGCAGAGCTCCCTGCCAGGTGCTCCCAGACAGGGACTCCTACCAGGTGCTCCCACCAGATGCTCCCCATTACGTTCTCCCAGACAGCTGTTCCCAGCCAGATGCTCTCACCAGGTGCTCAAGAATGTTGGGCGCCCATTTCCCTTGGCCCTGCTTTGTGGTTGCCACTTCTGGGACACCACGTGCTTCTCCGGCCAGAGGCAGTAATGTCACATGCTCATCCCTGCCCCCTCCTTCCCTCTCCTCTGTTCCCCACCCCCCAGCTCCTCTCTGTCTCAGGGAAGAAAAGGGGGACCTGCAGAAAGGTCACAGTGCAAGAAGCGGTCGCCGTTTCCCCACCCAAAATGAGATGAGATGAGAAACATCTCATAAACCCCAAGTGACAAGGATCCTACCAAATCCCTGACCAACACATCTCAGATGGTCAAGGCCATCAAAACTAAGAAAAGCCGAAGACACTATCACCACTATCCCAACCCAGAGGAGTCCAAGGGGACAGGAGGATCAAACACCACTGGGTCCCAGGACAGAAAGAGGGCACCAGGCAAAACAGAGGATGTGGGGGTAGAGCGCCAGCTTCAGTACATGACCCCATGTCAGCGCCAGCTCATTACTGTGACAGGCACACCACACTGGCACGAGAGGTCTTCAGTGGGGCATGCTGTGTAGGCAGAGAAGCACGTGGAAGCTCTGTCCTTTCTGCCCTATTTTCTTGGAAACCTAAAACTGCCCTAAGTAGAGGGGCGCCTGGCTGGCTCAGTCGGTTAAGTGTCTCACTCTTGATTTCTCCTCAGGTCGTGATCTCAGGGTCGTGAGATCAAGCCCCATGTTGGCTCACACTGGGCAGGAAGCCTGCTTAAGATTTTCTCTCTCAAAAAAAAAAAAAAAAAAAAAAAAAAAGGAAGTCTAGGGGCGCCTGGCTGGCTCAGTTGGTAGAGTGTGCAACTCTTGATCTCAGGGTCATGAGTTAGAGCCCCACATTGGGTGTGGAGCCTACTTAAAAAAAAAAGTCTATTAATTATTTTTAGAAAGTACCAAGACTCCCCATAATCATACCAGCTCAGAATCTCCACAGCCCCCAAAAGGTACAAGGCCCTTGCCCTTCATGACTGATCTGCAAAGTCCCTGCCTGATACAGATGTATGTGTGGTCCCCCCACTGAGTTTCTGCAGGATTTGGGGACCAGATCCCACATTAGCCCCACTCACCTGCAATTCCTCTCGGGGTTTCTCGAGACAGTGTCTTCTGGGAATCCCAAATAACCTGGGCCTCAGCAGGACTGAAAGGGGCAGCTCCTTAATGTCCGGAGTAACCCTGATTACAAACCAGACTGTTGCAAGCTCATTTCTGCCCATAAAATCATCCTAAGTATTTTATGTCTGACTCTCTTTATCTTTAACAGAAAGAGTCAAAACACAGCAAATCAATGTAGACAGAACAAGGGCGTGAGGCAGCCATGCCTGCTTCCTGGGTTAGTCGCTGGGGTGTGGGGTCTGCAGGACAGACACGACTATCACGGGACTGCTAAAAACTGCCTTTCACACCCATTCTCTTTAAAGGGCACAAACCTAATGGTGATGTTGGTAGGGACTGAACGCAGAAGCAGAGCGAAAAATGCACCTCTTCCTTTGAAGGATCAGCACAAATGTAAGACAACGCCTCTAAATTTGTTCTAGAAAAATAATGTTGCTTTTCCTTAAGAGGAAGTGTTCCTGTGCAGTGAATTTTATTACTGTTGATTTGGAAAAAAAAAAAAAAACATATATGCACCATATTTTTTGTTTTCGCTTCTAATGTAGTAAATACCCTTCCCTATACGTCACCACACAACAGAAGTTCAAAAACGGTTTAGAGAGTGTAAGGGTCCTGAGCCTGGGGATCCGGGGTGGCGCTCACGTGCACCTGTGGCTCCACCTAGTGGCGCACACAGCCTGCTGAGAGGGATGCTGAGCCTTCTGATACCATCCACCACGCGGAGTCACAGGGTTTCTGTCTTCTGAGTTAAATGGGTCCCGTGGGAAGATCCTGAGAAGTGCCTTTCTGGGGTGCTGATGAGGTGAAGTGTACCATCAAATTCTGCCCTGACAAGGCCGCTCCCCAAGGTGCAGTCCCACAGACCTTAGCCCAAGGCCTACTTGGGGTCCTCGAGATTCTGCACTGTACCTGTTAGACAAGGGTTCCCAGAAAGTGAGACTTTCCCATCTGCACACCCCAGATCCCATTCAGGCCCGGGCCAGGGGCCTTGGGGAGGCAAGGAAGGAATGCATGAGAACACAGCCAACAGTAAGGGATGAGAAGTAGCCTTGAGGCCAGAACTCAGGGACTCACCAAGACAGGACCATGGTAGTGCCACCCTGGGCGTGTGGGTGTCGAGCGGCACTCTTGGCCTCCACCTACAAACCCAGTAGCACAGACGTGGCACAGACGGTGGTGGAGCCAGACTGGATGTGGGTCACCAGGGTGACCAGGCTTCGCAGGGGTACCAAACATCACAGCTCCCTTCCTGTGCCCCAACGAGGCCCAGTTCTGTCTCCAAGCCACAGCTCCCCACTCCCCTGCAAACCTGCCATCATGCCGTCCCTCATCATGATCCAGAGCCACCACCAGGCCGCTGGAGACATCGCCTGCAGTCCTTGGACCAAGTCACACTGGAAGACAAGCTTTGCCTACCATCACCCATCTGTCCAGCCTGTAACTTTTCCACATCTAAGTGGCTGATGTCAAGATCTAAGGCCACAAAAGCTCCTTTTCAACAGTAAGTATGTAGCCTGTTCAGGTATGTAGAATAGTCCTTTAGCAGAGAAGAAGAGTTTCCACTGCTTTGTAAACTGACAACATGGAGTGGGGAGACCTGAGCGGGCAGACCTGAGGGAAAAGTTGGGGAGGATAACTGTGTGGGGGAGACCTGGGGACAGGCCAGGGGAGGCTACTTTGGGGGATACCTTGAAAGGAAACCTGGGGGAGAGAAGCTGAGGGAGGACACCTGTTGGCGGGAGGGAACCTGAATGGAGAGTCACTGAAGAAAAGAAATGGAGGGGTACCTGAGAGACCTGGGGGGGATCTGAGTTGGTGGACGCTGAGGGAGAGACCTGGGATGAGACATGAGTGGAGAAAAGAAAAGAAATGGAGGAGGAGACCTGGGGGGACATGAGTGGGGAAACACTGAGGGAGAGACCTGGAAGGGACCTGAATGGGGAGATGCTGAAGGGAGACCTGAGGGGGGACCTGAGTGGGGAGACACTGAGGGAGAGACCTGGGGGGGACCTGACTGGGGAGATGCTGAAGGGAGACCTGGGGGGGGACCTGAGTGGGGAGACACTGAGAGAGAGACCTGGGGGGGACCTGAGTGGGGAATGCTGAGGGAGAGACCTGGAGGGGCTGAATGGTGGGACACTGAGGGCGAGACCTGGGGGGCACCTAAGTGGGGAGATGCTGAGGGAGAGACCTGGGGGGAACCTGAGTGGAGAGATGCTGAGGGGGAGGCCTGAGGGGGACCTGAGTGGGGAGATGCTGAGGGAGAGAGCTGGGGGGGACCTGAGTGGGGGGACACTGAGGAAGAGACCTGGGGGGACCTGAGTGGGGGGACACTGAGGGAGAGACCTGGGAGAGACCTTAGTGGGAAGATGCTGAGGGAGAGACCTGGGGAGGACCTGAGTGGAGAGATGCTGAGGTGGAAACCTGAGAAGGAACTGAGTGGGGAGATGCTGCGGGAGAGACCTGGAGGGGCTGAGTGGGGGGACACTGAGGGAGAGACCTGGAGGGGCTGAGTGGGGGGAAACTGAGGGAGACACCTGGGGGTGACCTAAGTGGGGAGATGCTGAGGGAGAGGCCTGTGGGGGACCTAAGTGGAGAGATGCTGAGGGGGAGACGTGAGGGGAACCTGAGTGAGGAAATGCTGAGGGAGAGACCTGGAGCGGCTGAGTTGGTGGACACTGAGGGAGAGACCTGGTGGGACCTGAGTTGGGAGATGCTGAGGTAGAGACCTGGGGGAGACCTGAATGGAGAGATGCTGAGGTAGAGATCTGGGGGGGACCTGAGTGGAGAGATGTTGATGTAGATACCTGTGGGGGGCCTGAGTGGGGTGATGCTGAGGGCGAGACCTGAGGGGGACCTGAGTGAGGAGATGCTGAGGGAGAGACCTGGAGGGGCTGAGTGGGGGGACACTGAGGGAGAGACCTGGGGGGACCTGAGTTGGGGGAAGCTGAGGGAGAGACCTGCGGGGGGGGACCTGAGTGGAGAGATGCTGATGGGGATAGACCTGGGGGGACCTGAGTGGGGAGATGCTGAGGGAGACACCTGGGGGGCTGAGTGGGGGGACACTAAGGGAGAGACCTGGGGGGGATGTGAGTTGGTGGACGCTGAGGGAGAGACCTGGGATGGGACATGAGTGGAGAGATGTTGATGGGGAGAGACCTGGGGGGGACCTGAGTGGGGAGATGATGAGGGAGAGACCTGGGGGGGACCTAAGGGGGTACCTGAGTGGGGGGACCTGGGGGGGGACTTGAGTGGGGAGACGGGGGGGAGACCCAAGTGGAGTCCTGGCCTGGCGCTGTCGTCTGTCTCTAACAATGCTCGGGTTTACACGGGGTCCCACGGCCGGACTCGCTCACCCACCCCGCTGGTGGGAGTGTCCAGGCCCCCTCGAAGGTCATCTTCCCAAAACGTAACAGAAGCCTGGAAATGCCTCTGGCCAAAGAATTCCACGTCGGGAAGTGAGCTCCAGCTGCCAATAATCTGAAAATCGGGTACGTGACACCTCGAACTCTCTCCACTGCACGATCTCCCCCCCCCCCACGCCCCCGCCGTCGCCGTGGTCCAGGATGGTAACGACACGTGTGATGTAACGCGAGACCCGCCCACTCGCTCCAGCTGCCCCGCCCCTTCCGACACTTACCCGGAAGTTATTTCCCAAGGCGGAAGTAAGTGGGTGGTTGGAGAGCTGGCGGTATCTGGGTTTGGTTCAGTGGGGCGAGAGTCTGTAGGGAAGTCGGGACCGTGGTCGGGGCGACCCCCCCGACTGCCTGGAGGGCGTGTCCGCACGGCGGGGATGGGGGCCGGCCGGCCTTCCAGGGCAGCCCCTAAGGAGAGGGCCCTCCATGAGGGCCGCGGGGGTCTCAGTGAAGCCCCTGCGGCGCGGGCACAGCACGGGCACTTCTCCCTTCTCCTCCGGTGCCTGTCCCCTTTCTCAGTACCCTGCAGTTAGAGCAGGGGCTGCCCCGTTTTTGTACGGCCTCCGAGCCGAGAATGGTTTTTGCATTTGCAACAGCCTCCAGCTTGGGGAAAGTGCGCAGAGCACAGGCGTGTGCCCTCGGGTTTGTGCCTGGCGGATCTGAGGTTGCGAAGGGCTGACGCCGGGGGCCAGGGACGAGCTTCTGATTTGGATCAGCGATGGCCAGACAGACGTGGACATGAGCTTCAGGAACGCGTCCTGGTGGAGCCTTTCAGTACGTGTGCAGGCCTTGGCCTTTTCTGTTGAGGGTCGTGTTTATTTTATGAGCACTAGGGTTTTGCAGCCCGTCACCAGGATGGCGTTACCCCAGGGGCTCTGCCTGTGCCCTCTGGGTGGTTTCACCCCGGATGCAAAGTTCTGGGTGACAGGCACCTCGGCCAGGCTGGAGAGCTGGGTGGGTCCGAGAGGCAGGAAGGGCCCTGAGCCACGTTCATAAGTAGTGCTACAAGCGACTCACGCAAGACAGTGCCCGGTGCTGGTGGCGGGCAGCCTGTCTGGATTCCAACCCCATCGCCCGGGGCTGGCTTATCTCTGAGTGGCTTCCCGACACGTGGCAGCCTCAACACCTACCATGCGCACAGCTGGAGGGTCTCGCAGGAATACAAGGACAGCCCTTCCTGCCCCCAGACTCTTCTCCAGCTTGGACAGTCTGTGTAGGGTGCCTCTCCCCTCTGCACACAGTCTCACTCACTCTGCCCCCCCTTCCTCTTCACGGACACCATCTGTCTGCCGGCTGGGCCTTGAGGCCTGCCTCCTCCTCTGCATCCAGGCTGCTGTCCACATGCTGCCCTGGCTATTAGACATCGTCCTGGCCTTTGGGGGAAGACTCAGAATGATGTCCCCTGTATCTCCTCTGTTTCCTCTGGTAGGGAGAAATTGTGGGCCCCAAAGCTGTTTCTAAAAGGCCTCTGGCATAAAACTGCCTTCAGCAGTGGGCGTGATCTGGGGTACCAGAGGCTCTCCCTGCTGACTTGGCCATCAGACCACTGTCACCGTGTGGGGCCACTCCCAGGCCCAGCTCCTGATGCAGGGGCAGTGGTCCTGCACCTGCTTCCTCCGGTGAAGCAGCAGAGGATGATCAGCTCCCAGAACCTGCGAACAAACAGCTGACCATGCTCTCACACTGGGCCTGCCTTGCTCCACCTGGTCAGGGGCCTTGGGGGGGGGGCAGCACTGAGCTGTCTCTTCTTCATTCCACAGGTAACGAGGCAAAGTAAGCATCCGCCCGAGAGGAGGCAGCCAGGGGCCTGCTGGGGCTGGTAGAAAAGGGGGACGGTGAGCCTGCAGACAGGAGTCTCAGCCAGTGGCACAGCTGGCCTCATCTGCACCCTGCTGTCTCTTAGAGCCACCCCCCCCCCCCCCGCCCAGACCTTCACAAGACAGGGACCGCCTGTACCTTTGCAGATTCGTCTGTTTTAGAAACCACAAGTCCCTTTGGTTGAGTGTTAGGAGCTGCTTGAGGGGTCTCTTGCCTTCCCTGAGACCTCGAGCCCCCGGGCCAGCTGCCGAGGGGGGCCTGGTGTTGTTCACTGGCCACAGAGCTGCTGGAAAGAACCAAGTCAACCAAAGTGGCATCCCTGACACTGACTCACGAGGTCTCGCAGGCAGGAGCCGCCCTCCCGCCCGGGCCTCCCTGAAGTCGTGTCTTACATTTGTTGCACACGTCAGCCTAAGAGAGCTTTGGTTATTTTTGACAGCCGTTCTCAAGCTTTCAAGATTATGTAAAAACAGTCCCTTTTTTTTTTTATGAGCTCTGTTTAACAAGGTAAATAAAAGATTTCTTTGCTGGTTTTGCAGTCCTGGTATTTGCCTCTGCCAGTCATTGCAGGGGCAGAAACAAGTGGGCAGTTCGCGTGGGGCAGCTGGGGCCGTGGCCACCAGGTCTGTCGTAAGCCTAGGATTGCATGCTGACAGTCCAGCCCGGGCCCTGCAGCGCTGACCGCTTATCCTCAGGTTTCACCACCTCGGGATGAGTCTGTGGCCCTGGGAGGGTTGGGGGGGGTGCTGACACCCACCCCCCACCCCCAGCAGTCTGAAGCAGAGCTGCAGTCTCGCCTCGGCCCTCATTGTGCTTGTGCACAGGCTGGCCATCTGCCCCGGGCTATGTCTTGCCCTCTGAGGAGTCTGGTCTCAGGAGCAGCGGAGTGTGCCCATGTCCCCACCCGGAGCCGGGGCTAAAAGCGGCTGGGGGCAGCCCTGGGCCACCAGCGACACACCCCAGCCCCAGCTCTGGCCTCTGCCAGTGGGGAGGACCCACAGTTCAGAGTGGTGTCAGGGACAACACTAGACTGCAGGTCCCTGTCTAGTGGGGGCCTTTCCTCCCCCCTCCTCCCTGAGCCCTCTTCGGGGCCCCACCCAGAAGGGATAAGGGTATCCCACACACACACCATTTCTTTATTCTTCCAGAGCACTAAAATCAGCACTGCTGGGGGAGGTCCTGCCACAGAGACTCACAGTGCCCACCACATCCCCAGGAGCCCGGCCCCCAGTGCCCATCCACCTGTGTGTCAGGAGCCCGGCAGTGGGGCCCAGAGCGGCTGTTTCTAGGCCACGATGAGCACGTTGGGTCTCACCAGCAGCCCAGTTACTGGAGCTAATTTCAGCATGCTGTCTGGTCCTTCTGGACCCGCTCTGGGTGTCTGCAAGGTGGCAGTCAGCTGGAGGACAAGCTGTCACTGCCTCCCCACCCCACCCTCGTCCAGCATCCCAGCATCCCAGGAAGGTGAGAATCGTGGGTCCTCCTTCGAGAGCAGGCGTGCACCAGGAGGCCCACCACACAGAGTTGTGGCCTCCATTATTTGGGGCTGTGGTCAGCATGAGGACCAAGTCTGAGCCTGGAGAGTCCCCAAAGCAGCAAATGTGGCCGGCGTCCAGAGACTGGAAAGAGCACAGCAGTGAGAGATGTGCGGGACCCCGTGCCCCCACACAGCTCCCACCTGCGGGCCTGACTCCCACCGTCCTGCCACGCGCACTGCCACCCAGCTGGGCTCAGGTGCCCCTGCCATGTTCTGCATGGGCGTCAGCTGCAACCACAGCGGAGTGTTCAAACAGCACCCACGAAGCAGGGCCCGGAAGCAGACCCTTGTCACACCGGACTCAGGCCACACCAGGCCCTCTCCCAGGGGACTCTCCAGTTGCTGTCAGGCCAAAGCTTGGCCCTGGGTGCCCAGTTCTGCCTGTGCAGTCTGAAGAGAAGGCATGACTGGGTGGCAGGGTCGGGCCAGCCCAGGTCTCAGCCCAAACCTTGAGCCAGGCCTGAGGGCCAACTTGGGGCCCTGCCCTGGGCTGCCCACCCGGTGTGAGCAGCACCCCGGTCCCACGAGTGTTCAGGGCTGCCGGCCATCTGCCCTGAGGAGGATGGCAGGGCCCTGGGCTCTAAGCTCCCCCACCCCCCATAAATCCATAATAAAAATAATCCCTCATTTTCCTGATGTGCCCCAATTCCAGAAGTGCTTCCAGATGCATCATCATGTTGATGCATGAGAGGGGCCAGGGACGCACAGCTGACCCCATTTCACAGAATCGCATCAGGGAGGGCTCGGGAGCCCAAAGGGGCAGGAGGCACCCCATTCTCCCTCCCAGGTGAGGACACCAGGACCATTCACAGGCCCCCAGCCCAGAGGAGGCTGCCAGAGCTCCTGCCAAAGGCCTAGAGCAGGCCTCTGTGAGGGTGGACGTTGAGAAGCTGAGCCCTGCTACCTTCCGCGGCTGCTGTTGCTGCCTGGGGGCCCCCTGCCCAGGATGCAGCCTGGTACCTGCATCACCCAAAGGCCCCAAGGGCACAGCTCCCCCAAGAGCTGGGCAGCGGGGCCTGCCAGACACAGCCAGGGCATCAGGTCTGAGGAGAACGGGATGTGGTCTCGTCCCTGAGGGATGGAGGGCAGAGTGAGCGTCTGCTTGGGTCCCATGAGGGGCCAGCTGAGGAGCAGGCAGAGAGGAGAGGGGACGGGCCTGCAGTGAGGGAGGAACGCCCCCTCCCTCCCCAGAGCCCCCAAAGCTGCTCAGCCTGGGCTTGGGCACCCCTGAGCCAGACACAGCCTCGCATCCCCTGGGCCTACACAGAACAAGTCTGGGTATTCCCAGTCCAGGGCCAACTGAAGAGTGGACGGACCCCCAGCCCTCAGGGCAGCTACCCAGTCAGCCTGCCGCCGGCCTAGAAATGGGGGACACAGGCTCACACCTGTGGATGGCTCAGCTCCAGGGCACTGCTGAGGCCCCAGGGGCGTGCAGTGTCCTGGCCTCATCCCTGTTACTCCCGCCTGGCCTACGGCTAGAGCCTGGCAGCGCATGGACGGCTAGGGTACAGTCTAAGGGATGAAAGTCTTCGGTGCCAGCCCCACTGTAGGAGACCACTGTCCACGGCCAGAGCTAACTCCACACTGCCATCCCTGCATCCCCCATCCGCAGGGACTGACGGGGCGTGCAGAGTGAGGCCAAGTCCCTGGGGTAGGCCCAGCACCGAGGAGGAGGGCAGGGGGGAGGGGGCGGTGCCAGGGCCTGGCCCCAGGTGGCAGGAGTGGGCGGGGCACCTGCCTGGGCTCTGCCGGCCTGTGTGCCCGCTCACTCATTCACTTGGCCCTCGCTGTCACTCACCATCACTTGGTCCTTGTCACTTGGCCCTTGCCGGCACCGTCCAAGGTAGGTCCAATGAACTGGCCCCCCGTGCAGAGCAGGAAACCGAGGCGGCGGGTCCCGCTGGGCTGACCTGGACCATCCTAACCCCCAGATGCCCCTGCCTGTTGGTCTTGTGACCGAGGCGGCTGCCCTGCGCCTCCCAACAGGCCCGACCCCACCGGCGGGGAGGACCCCCTCGGTCTTCGGGCGGGCGGGGCGGGGGCGGGGGCGGGGCGGCCGAGGGGGAGGGAAGCCGCGTCCTGCGCCGTGCGCGCCGCCCGCAGTGCCCGCCGAGCGCCGTGGCCGGGGGCGTCGCGGGGCGCGCGGGACGGGCGGCCGGTTCCGGCGGCGCTGCGCGCAGGTAGGGCAGACAGGGCAGGCGGTGGGCGCTGCGGGCAGACCGCCGCCCCCGCCCCCGCCGCGGAGAGCCCCCCACCACGTGGCTGTCCGACCAGGGGTGGGGATGCTGAACTTGGGGTCTCTGGGAGGGGAGTAACTGCATGCCCCCTATTGGCTGCCCCCCCCCATAAAGGCAGGCTCTGCTCCCCTACGGCTCTTACCCCTGGCTCCTAGTGTGGATGCTCTGTCCCCAACCGACCAGGGCCGACCCCCACCCCCCTCAAGATGGAGATCTTCCAGCCTGGAGTCCCCTCCACAGGCTAGTGCAGACAGGGTCACACTCCTGTCAACCCCTGCCTACCCTCCCAAGGTCCAGAAAGCCAACCCCCTGGCTCTCAGCCTCCCGTGATGGGAGCAGGGCCTGGGGGCCAGTAAGAGACTCCCTGGGCCCCTGGAGTGGGCTTTAGTCAGGGAGGCAGGAAGCAACCCGCTTTGCCAGGCTGGTACACAAACAGAAACTGGGCCAGGCGGTTTGTGAACAGTGTGGGGGCAACACGGGGCAGCAGAAGGCTGTAGCCACTCCAAGTCCCAGACCAGCTGTGCAGCCTGTGACCCCAAGACCCTCAGCACCTACCCCCCCCAACCCCTTGGCTAGAGATGCAAATTGCAACCAAATCCTCCAAGCCCCAAGATTAATTTCCCTTGGGTAGGCTTCCCCATGCAAAGCAGAGGGAAGGCACAGGAAGGAGGCCAGGCACAGCCCCACCCCTCACGTTAGGGTCTGGATTGCCCCCTCTGCAACCAGGAATGGGAAGTGGGCCTCGCAGTTGGAGGGTGGGCTTCTGGGAACCCATCTGTGCTGTGTGCCTGGTCCTGCTATGGCTGAAACACTGCCCCTTCTCTCTCCCAAGAGACCAGGCCATGGTAAGGCTCTGATGGGGGTGGGAGATAAGGATGCAGAGCTCAGAGTAAAAACTTTTCTCTGCAGTTAATTAGCCCCATGGGGGGAGGGGCAGACACACGGGACCTCATTAGTGGGGCCTCAGCTCCAGGCCCTGCACCATGTGGACTACGTGGGTGCCTCTGTGGACCCCCGGGAAAGGGGTGGTACAGCCCCTGGGGACCTCCCAAGCAGCGGACCGGCTATCAATCTGGTGGGGAGGGAGCATCTGGGGGTTGACTGCAGGCTGGCAGCCCTCTGGCTGTTGCTTCCTCCTGTGTTCTCCAGCCCCAGGCTGGCCACTTCCGAAGCTCCCGACGCCATGGAGGAGTGGGATGTGCCCCAGATGAAAAAAGAGGTGGAGAGCCTCAAGTACCAGCTGGCCTTCAAGAGGGAGATGTCGTCCAAGACCATCCCTGAGTAAGTCCCCAGGACCCCACCCCACCCAGGGTTGGCTCCAATCTGCATTTCATTTCCCTGCCCTGTGTTCGTTTGCATGAGCCAGAGCCATGGCCCTGCACCTTGCCATTGGGCAGCACTTCTAAGAAGCCAGGCACCCACCTGCTCAACCTCACCCTCCCCACCCTACCCAACCACAGGCTCCTCAAATGGATCGAGGATGGGATCCCCAAGGACCCGTTCCTGAATCCCGACCTGATGAAGAACAACCCATGGGTGGAGAAGGGCAAGTGTGCCATCCTGTGAGGCCCCCCGCCCCACCCCCGGGCTCTTGCTTCTGTAGGGAGGACAACTCCATAAAGGTGTGACTTTTATAAAGACTCTTTGAAAGCGTCCGTGCTTTTGTACATTTTCTGACGGAGAACTCGCAACATGACAGCATCAAGCGTGGGGGCCTGGGGCGTCTCGTGTGGACCCGGGGCATCCAGCACGGGCTCACGGTGTCAGGTGCACCCCGGCTACAGCAGGTCCCTGATGTAGACACTGCGCCGCACAGCATTGGAGACGCCCTCCTTGAAGCGAAACCAGACGTCACTCCTGCCCACCGCCGTGCCTATGTGCCGCTCAGCCGCGTTGGTCTCCGGGGCCACATCTCCTGTGGAGGCCACATGGTTGTTCCTCTGCCTTGCCCCGGCCCCTGCCACCCCTCCCGTGCCTCCCGCGCCCACACACCTGCACTCAGGGCTGCCGCTCTCTTGAGGACCACACGACCAAAGAAGTCCCTCTCAGGCTGAAGGGGGCAGGCTGGTCAGGCTCTCAGCCTAGACGGGTGGCGGGCACTCCCTGCCCTGGCGGGAGGGCCAGAGGCCCCCTCCCAGGGAGCAGCCAATGGCCCCAGGCTGTGGGAGCAGATGCCCACCTCCCCTTCCCAGACCCGCTTCACGCTGGAGCAGACCCACTCGGCACATGTCCCTTCGGTCCCTCATCACCCACATGGCAGCTTCCTCCTGCCACAACCAGCAGAGCCCCCTCTCGCCCAGATGGAAAGCTGGGGCCACAGGAAACCCCCCGAGGCTGAGTAGCAGGCAAGTGACAGCCCCCCAGGGCTGAGAACCAGCCACATCCCTCACACCTTTTCCTCCAGGGCCGCTCTCTTCAGGATGTGCTCCAGCCGCTGCTCTAGCCGCTGCCCCTCGTGGCTGTGTGAGGTGGGCGGCTGTGCCCCTCTGTCCCCGGCACCCCCCAGTGGAGCCTCGGCCCCTGGGGGAACCCCGCCCACCTGCAAACAGAAGGTGTGGTGAGGGCTGACTGGGCAGGGCCAGTCCAGGGACAAGGTCCCTTCCGACGGCCCTGCCCTCCCTGGCCTGGCTCTGGCCCCCAGGGTGGGCTTACCTGGGGGCTGTCCCCAACCCGGGCCAAGGCCTCCGCCCGCCGCATCTTCTCCATTTCGATCTCGCGGGCAATGAGCTGCTTGGCCTGGTAGGTGAGGGGTTTGCGGGCGGGCAGCTCAGGAAAGCGGCAGACCTCCTCCACGTTCCTGCTCTCAGGGCAGGTCAAGAAGTACGCCATCAGCAGCACAGGCAGGTGCTACCTGCCCACCCGTCCCAAACGCCAAGAAGCAGGGGCTGCAGTGTGCAGCTCAGTCCTGCCAATACAATGCCTGGGCCCATAGCAGCAGGGTATGACCCACCCCAAGCCTCAGTTTCCCCAACTGCTTGTGGGCATGAGAAGGGAACCATCCCGAGGCTGCAGGATGAAAAAATGAGACAACAGGGCAGGGCCTAGGCTCAAGGCTGGAGCTGAGCACTGGGAACTGTCACCATTACCGCCTCCTTGCAAATGGCACAGAAAGCGATGGGCACTGGTCCCCTTGTTGGGCAGTGGGGCCCCGGGGAACATCTCAGGATGGGGCCGCAGCGCCCTGGGGGAGCTCGAGGACCCTCTGGGAGCAGTGCCTGGGGGACACTGAGGCAGGCAGAGCCTCTGAAATAATGCCCCGTAAGGGGAACCCCCCACCTCACAATCACATCTGCGCAAGTGCTGAGCTGGAACTGACCCCTTATCGCTGCCCCACAGGCAGGAAAAGGGAGACTACACCTCGCCAAGATTCCTGGCCTCACTGCCGTAGCACCCGGAGCCCAGCCTCCTGTCCCTGGCACCCCACTGCAGACTCACGGCTCTAGCCTGTAGACATACTGCCCGTCGGGCATGCGCTCTTGGCGGTAGGTGAGGCTGTAGGCAAGCATGGTGCCCACGAGGCTGGCCAGCTGCTGCTTCTCACGAGTGCTGTACAGCTGCGTGCTCACCTGTGGGCAGGGACGCTGAGCATGGCTGGGCCCGCCCCCACAGCGGCGACACCCCCACTCCGGACGAGGCACTCACAGGGCGCAGCTTGGGCGCAAGGATGTCCAGAATCAGACAGAGGGCATCCAGGACGAGAGCCTGAGGTGCAGCTCGGCTGCGGGTGGCAGGTGCGATGCCCGCCACCAGCGTCTGGATGAGGTTCTGTGTCCGGCTGGTCCGGTTCTGGGCCTGGGGTGGAGGATGAAGCAGGCCTAGGAAACCCAGGCTCCCTGGGCCAGACCCCAGGCCCAGGCAGGGTTTAGGAGACACACCTCCTGCTGGCTGCTGGGGAAAGCAATCCTCGGCACGTGGCTGGACGCAAAGAGCAGGTGGAAGGCTGCCGGCAGGAAGGGCAGGTAGCGCAGCAACTGGAAAGTCTGGCTGTGATGGGCGGCGCGGCTCAGCAGGTCATCGAAGGCCAGCCAGTCAAGGGCCGCGCACACGGTCCCCAGGCTGGAATCCCGTAGCCGCAAGCGCAGGAAGTTGTCAAACAGGCCCTGGGGGTGAGCAGGTGGGTGGGCTGCTGAACCCCCCCCCAGGCTCAGCCCCCAGCCCACATACAAGCACCTCCCACCTGCCCTGCCAAGCCCAGGGTCTCTGGGAGAGCTGCTAGCACCAGCACGTGGCCCTGAGGCCCCGAAGGAGGAGCCAGGAAGGCCCAGCCTGCCGCCCCACTGTTTTGAGAGATGCAGGACAGAAACCCCTACCCACGACTGCCTCAAGGAGCCCACAGGCTCCAGTACCCACCCCCTCCCCAAAGGAAGCTCTGCAGCCAGAACGGAGGGCACAGAGCCCCTGCTCTTGTTCCACGTGAGACTCTCATTCCCTCGGGGCGCACACAACCCCTCCCTGTGGAGAGTTCCGGATTTATCAGATCCACAGCCACTAATCCAAAGCTGCTTAGTCAGGGAGACAGCTTAGGCCAGGCTTCCCTGGGGTGGGGGGCATCTCTGCCACCTGCTCAAGCCAAAACTTTACCCTGCCTGCTCTACCGCACATCCCCGTGCCCACAGTTCATGTCCAGAACGGGGACCCTCCCAGGCACTGACTCAGGCTGTCTAGCCCCTTCCGCCCCAATCACCTGCGTCCCGACCAGCAACTGGACTGACCCCGTGAGTCAGATGACACCATGCACCCAGCCCACCTCCCCTCCCTGCCAGCCCACGCCGGCCCCCACCCCACCCACGGCACCAGCTAGTCCCTCCTCCCAGGCCTCTGTCCCTGCTCCCCATCACCTTTGAGAGAGCTCCCTGAGGCACCGTGTCCACCACCCCTTGCTCCCATCCCATTGCTCCTTGAGCTTGACACCGTGTGAAGCGTCTCCGGTTCTCTGGAGACAGAGACACAGACAGATGCTAGCATACCAGCACCCCCAAAAACACTCAAGGCAGAGCAAGATTACCTGGACCACCTTCTCGTGCTCCCCTGCGGAGGCAGCCACGTGCAGGATGTGGTAGAACCGCTGGGAAGCCGTGGTCAAAGGCGCCTCGGCAGCACGGGGCCCCAGACCCAGGTGCCCATCATGGAGCGAGAGCATGTGCAGGGGCAGGGCCGGGTCCTGGCCCCAGCGTTGCCTGCAGAGGGGTGCCAAGGCTGGAATGGGGCCCCACCTCTTCATCCCCCTCCAGGATGCCTTGCTCCCCAAAGCGGCCCAGGCATCTGTACACAGACCATGCTCCCCCAGGGCCCATGCGGCGCTCAGTCTGCCACAGGAGACGGGGCTGGCCTGCCCACTTACCTCTGGGCCCGGGGCAGCTGGAACACCTCCTGCCACACAGAGAAAAGCCCCTTGCGCTGGTCCTTGAGGCCAACTCGTGTGGCCTGCACAGCCTGCACACTCAGCTCCCGCCGGCCCCGCCCATGAAGGAACTGGACACAGACGGGTGGGGGCTGGTTAGCGGCGGCTGAGCCCTGCTGCACCCCAGCCACAGCCCCGCGCACCTGCCCACCTGCAGGGTGTTGATGCAGGCACGGATATCGTTGTCTGTCTTCTCACACAGAGCTGCCAGTGCGCCCGGGTCAGCCTGCATGCCCTGCCGCAGGGAGATCTGCAGGGAGGCAGGAGGGTGGGTGGCCACTCCCCCAGAAACCCACCCTGGGGCCCTCTCTTCCCTAGAACACAGCTGTAGATCCCCGTGGACCAGCCTTGGTCCCTGCTTCGAACCATTTACTGCCAAACAGCAAACCGGTCCAGTCACCCCCACATCCTGGGGCCAGTTGGGGGATGGGGCCCTGGATGGGAGAGGGGATGGCAAAGGAGAGGGACACGGGGCCAGGACAGGGGACACATCCCCACACCCCGCAGTCAGCCACGCAGCCCCCTAGTCATGTGTCCCCCGCTCCAGCCCTCACCGACCTCCTGTAGCCGCTGCGTGAGCCTCGAGGACAGTATGGGTGGGAAGTAGAGCAGGAAGGCCTGCTGTCTCAACTGCCTCAGGGAGGGTACAAACCTGCAGGGGGACAGGCACGTGCACACCACACCGCCCAGCCAGGGACATCAGGGCATGTGCCACAGCCCAGTGGGCAGAAGCAGCCAGGTAGGGTTGGGGGTACACCCTCCCAGAAGCCCTCTGCCCTCCCATGGAGCCCCCCACCACACCCCTCCCTGTGCAAAGCCCTGCTCCGGCCCACTCACTGGTCATTGCAGATGCAGATGATGGGCCTCATCAGGAGCCCCCCCTCAGCCCGGCGCCGCCGTCCCCCACTTGTGGGAACCTGATCCCCTGACTCTGCATCCTGTGGGCCCTTGCGGTCCAGGATGTTCAGAAGAACACTGATGGCAGCCTAGGGAATGCAAAAAAGACACAGTGAGCCCTAGCCCATTGCCCACCCACCTGCCCACCCACTAGGGCACCCAGGAGGCCCACCACGGGGGCCCCGTCAATCTCATCGATGACCAGGCAGTTGGGCTTCCCGCCAGCACCCAGCACCGACTCCATCTGCGTGGCCGCCTCAATGCACGTGCGGAAGGCCTCAGGGCTGCGGT